TTTTCTTGTTCTCGAGTTGAAAGTGGGTGACAAAAAGTGCGAGCATACAGACACACACACAGCCTCTTCCCAATATGCGTTTTTGCAATTTACATATATGCAAAAATGCATAATAATGATAATAATAGTAATAGCAGCAATAATTGTAGCACTAACACAAACTAGCCAGAGAGAGGGGTGGGGGACTGACGAAAGGAGAAGGGGAGGTGAGATTGAAAAAATCCCCTTTCCTCCCACCCCTGCCGCCCAGAAGACCGCTCTGGATCCGCCTATGTTTCATATTGTCCTTGATGTATGTGTGAACCCAATCTGAAACATTTTTGTAAATTTTTGTAGGCCAAATATGAGATTGAAGCTGCGAAAGAAATATTGAATAGTCGAGCTTGGGAACCGCTGGTTGAAGAAGCACCGCTGGGCCAATGGAATTGGCCGATTGCGTAAAGCCCAGTACAGTTCCGATAAGAGAAATAGTTGTTCCTGAAGTTTATTTTAAGCCTGATTGCTAAAGTTGTAAATAAAGAAAAATTTTTGCTTCTGCTATCGTTCCTTTCAGGTCTAACGAGACCATAACATCGAGATATTTTCTACTGTGATTTGCTGTGTTTCGAATTTACGATGCTTTTTGTTGGTGATGAGCTTGTATTGAGTTCCAGTTGTGGTGCTGAGCTAAGACGCATGCGACTTAATAGACCGAAATGTGTCAATCTCATATAAAAAAATAGTTTATTTTTTATATGTGGTTTTTTTTTCATCTTCAGCGTAACAAAATAATCCTAAAAGCGGCTGGTAGTCGTGAATGTTTCGTAAATGCCATTTATATATACATTAGGTTAATATTTTATTAAATAATGAATTATTAAGTACTGTTTTGTGGAAATAATTAACAAGTATTGAGCACCGGTTTTAGATATTTTGCGTTGACTTGATAATTAAGTATTAATTACCAAGAATAACAAGCACTAAATACTGTTGGGTATCAAATATTAATTTAATTTAGAATTTTTTATATCAAGTAATAATATTCGTTGTATTGAATAATAATTTAGTACTAAATAGCAGTAACAAATTAAGTAGAATGGGGATTAAATGTCAAGTAAATATACTGTTATGTATTTTAAACATAAAATAATGAAAGGCTTGCTGGCGAAAACGCGAAACTGGCTTTTGCATAATATATATTTGGGACGAGTGATGGTTTTTGCAGGTTACTAACCGCCTGGATGGATATACCCGATCCATATTTGCCAGGTGCAATAAGCCTGCTGGATCAACTGGATAAGAAAATTCTTGTGATTTTGCGAGATGGTCGTACATTGATCGGTTATTTAAGGTATGGGAATTTTGTGTCTTCACATTTGTTGGAGCATAATACAATATGGGTCGAAACATTCCTATTCATTCGATATGTGCTAATTTTGATCGTTACATTGCACAGTTCCGTGCGATGGAAAATTAGGATTCGTTTTTCCTCATTATATTTATTGTATTAAGGATTACCATTCCTTATTTTGCTGGCAGAATTGTGTCTGTGTTTACGGCTAAGGGATAAAACATAGACTGCTTCTTCCAGATATGTTCATTCCATATGTAATCATTAATTTCTATGCCTGCTTTTTAATATTATATTTTTACCCATTATTACCAATATATTTTTATATTAACGTGAAAGAAATTATTAATATATTCGAGTATTATTATATTTTACACATTATGATCATATCTTATATATAATATTATGTTTTATATCAATACATACTGATTATTACCAATATATGATTTCAGAAAAAGGAATCACATTTTGCTGTGTGCCTGGAAACTGCGAGATTTTTTTAACATTCTACTGTTTATGTGTGTTTTCGAGAACAAAAAATTTGATCAAACAAAAACAAGCTAAACAAGATGGGTATAAATGTTAGCTAGAGAGGCACATTATCAAGAGAGAGCAATTAAATATGTACATTTTTCTGCTGTTGTTTCATCGTCACGTTTCTTCTCGCCATTGATGCAACTGGCAACTTTTCCATTCTTCTCTGTTTTGCGCCTCTCTCATCCACGCATTTCCATATAGTCAAGAATTCAGCTGGGTTCTTACATTACACTAGCACTCTCCCCTAAATTCTTTTAATTCTTTGCCCCTTTTAGGCACGTTTTATTTGTTTTTGATCATTTTTAAGCAAATTGGCTATAAAAGCATTAAATTTATATAAATATTTGGAATTTGATGAGTCCAGAAAAGTGGAGCATAGCACCAAGGCCTTTTTAGGGGAATAAGTTGTCAGAATGGTGCAAAGAATCACCGCGTTTGAGATGGATATGTTTTCAAAAGCTAAATAAAAAAATACGGTAATTTAGCCTCCATCTGTTTAAAAATAAGGTAACTATGCCTCAGTCTGTATAAAGTGAGGTAATATGTATACAGCCCGTACCGGAAAGCTTCCAGTTTAGTAACCCGTATCTGTTGCTTCCACATGCGAAAAATCTCGCATGTTTCTTTTTTTTTTCAGGACGATTGATCAGTTTGCGAATTTGGTGCTTCATGAAGCATTAGAGAGGATTCATGTTGACAAAATGTACGGGGATATTCAACGTGGTATATTTGTAATACGTGGTGAAAATGTCGTCCTGGCCGGCGAAATTGATGAGGAAAAGGAAAAAACAACAGGTCTGTTCAGTAATAAAGTCCCTTCACAGAAATACTGGAAAATCGATTGAGGAAGGCATTTTGAAAAATGAACAAGGTGTTAACAGCAAGGAAACAAAGCTGCCGCTAATCCCCTTCGCCTTGCCCAGTTGCCCTTCGATTTCATGTGACATGCAAACGTCCCGTGTCCTGACTCATCAGTGAATTTTAATTGAGTTCGCGAATTTCAGGCCTTATCCAGGTTCCGGTGAGTGAAATTTTATCGCTACAACGGCAAAAAATGGAAGAAAAAAAGCAGTTGGAAGAAACACGGAATCGGATACTGAAAGGAAGTGGCCGTGTTCCAGCAGCGCGAACTGATATTTTCTACGATGAAACATAGTAAAGCATTATTTCCGAATGTCATTACTTGCTTTCTAGTGTTTTTTTTTT